ATAAATAGTTAAATTCCTCTTTGCTCTCATATTACCGATCACTTGTGCGACTTATTCTGTTATTGTTCCTTATAGTCTCCTATTCTTATTTTATAGTTCAATTTGGCCTTACTAAAACATGACACAACTTTATATGGACCACATAGATTGAGAATTCATTTTAAAGCAATTTATTTCCAAAGCTTTGCTTAAATTTAAAGAAATCCAGTTCATTTTAGTCAATTTTGGTTTGCACTTAAATGTTCTAATGATGTATCGTCAATTTTGGCCCATTTTGGTATAAAAAAAATAGGACAAGTCTAGAGGTATTTGTTCTAGACATGACAAGGCATTGATAATGTGGCCAAAATGCTGGTAATAAGGCTCTAATTAGTCACGTTTATGTTAATAATCGTTTAGTAGAGGTAATCAGGAACATAAATTGTATAAAAGTTCACCAGTTTCGCACGGTTTTACAGAAAGATATGGCAAATCTGCTCTCTATTATTTGGGAGAGAATGTCTAACCTAGTACCTAAATTCAGAATTCCATGCACCACAAGATGCCGTTTTCAATCAGAATTGATTGCTGTTTCTACTCCGCTTTGTTGTCCTTCTGCCCATCTGGCTGGTGTCCAAGCATGATCATCAGATTATAGAAGATTGCTAGTTATTCCAAAGGCTCTGTTAAGTAACACTGCGCCTAACTTGCAACCTTAGGCTATAACGTGATAGTTGCTAAATCTGCACGTTCGCGGTTCGAATTCCTGTTGGAAAATCGTAAGGACGATGTGGTTAGTTAGAAACTCCAGGTTATTGCAAGTGAGAATTATTGTTTATGATACATGATTTAACGAATTTCCTTATCGTCAATCCACTGTAGGCTTCATTTTTAGTACCCCCTGCTGTCATGCTGCAAACTGGCGTTATATTATTATTTATTATTTAAATTATTAGTATTTCTAAGCCTTTGCTATTAATATGTATTATCATTTACTAACCAAATTTGCAAAATTGACCAAATTTCACTCTATGCAGAGATAATTTTTGGCTCCATTCTGAAAATGACAATTACCAACATTTGCCATATTCATAATAACAGAATTTGACCAGCTGTCCGACCTCTCAGAACACAGTCAGGATGGCAGCGAGGGCGCCTCTATCAAGCCGGATACTCGAGGAGTGAAGAGCATGTTTCTCGCATCTGTGGGAGCTCGCCGTCATTTACATTCAAGTGCCAAAGCTGAGTTGGCGGCAGCTCAGCTGGGCGATATCCCAGCCGACTTTGATCAGGCCGGTTTGCTTTTTTCCGGCCTTGTCATGAGACCACGCACCTTGTCTCCGATTCCCTCCGTCGACTTCGACTCGACCATTTATTATCCGGACGACTACCGGTCCATGCCGATGGCCTCACTCCTTGACGTAAAAATGATTGGAAATGAGGAGAGCAAGAGCACCAATGGAGGTATGATAGAAATTGAGGAGGAGGCTGAGGATTCTGTAAATTCCGGTTATAATGACCTCTATTGGCGGCCGAGGATAGGCATGTATCCGGCACAAGTTGGCAGACGACTTGGGGCAAACCATTCTGCTCCAGAGAGTCAAGACGTCGCCTTTGAGGCAGTCGTCGCAACCTGTTTGGGTCCCGAAGGTGGACATACGACTGCAGGGCAAACACTATTTCCCTCAATAACCAGCAAAAAGGCAACGACCAATAACACTGGCCAAAAGGATCAGGCTGGAGAAAATGCAGCAGCTTGGTTGATCGGCGGAGAGCCACCTAAAGCTGATCGGCGATCAGAAGCAAACGATGATATTTCAGGGGCCCTCAGCAATAGTGAGGAAGACAATTCGTGGAACCTGAAACAAGATTCTACGCACAATTTAGAGGTAGGCATATCAAGGGGAAAAAATTAATTAAAGAACAATATTTAAAATAGTATCTTCGCTCATTATTCACCAAATAATTAATCACAGCCTTGATATCCAGAAAATGAGGAGCATGTATGTGATAAAACGCCATCTACTGTGTTCAGAGAAACCACATATTAAAAAAATATAGTAGGAGAAAGGAAGCCTAAGAACAAATTGTTTCGATAGCTTCTGATACATTGCTTGAAGAGGTAAGGAATAGTATTGAATTGGAGGTGATCCCTCATTTTGACCATATAATTCCGACAAACAAAGCTAGTCCTCTAAGTAGGGTTTCTAGATATCTGTGTGGTAATAATCGAATGGTAATGAAAGCCGACAAAGCTGGAGCAGTGGTAGTCATGGGTAAGTCAAGTTATGTGGAAAAAATGCCAGTAAATTTAAATGACAATGACACGTATAGGCCTTTACTGAGAGATCCAACAGAAAGACTTAAGATTAGGCTAAACGATGCCCTCAAGGATGAAGAAGTGGAAAATAAATTCACATCTCCAGAGGGATGCAAGGACCCCCATGGCTTACGGTATCCCTATGTTTCACAAAGAGAGTGCCCCCCTAAGATTAATTGTTAATAATAAAGGAAGCGTGATGCATAAAATCTCACGTTTTCCGTGCATACAACTAAGGAATTCTGCCAATTATTGGCTATATTCAGTTAAAAATTCGTATGATTTTGTGAAACTGCTGGATCAGCATATACTTACAGAAGAGGATAGGATAGTAAGTTTTGATTTTGTGTCTATGAAATAAACATTCCTGTTCAAGAAGATATTCAAGCTCTGATACAAACTCTGGAGAAGCATCCAGAGACAACACAAGGAATAAGGCTGAGTGTAGCTTCCACTATTAGACTTATCAACCTATCCATGAGTACCACACCTTTTTACCCTTGATTGTAATTTATACGAACAGACACAAGGACTAGCGAGGGAATCTTGCCTGGCTCCCATCTTGGATAACAATTATGTGGCAAAACTGAAGGAAA